GCCATCCGCCACAGCACGGGATCCGGGCCTGCCCTGTCTTGGGCAGGGTGGGCGGGGTGGGCAGGGCAGGCAGCAGCACGATCCGAGCGGCCGCTCTCTGCAGCACGGGATCCGGGCCTGCCATCTGCAACCAGGGGAGGCGGGGCAGACACTGCGGGATTGGGCGTGCTACTTCATTACTGTAATTTTGCTACTGTTATGAATCGTCATGTAAATATTTCATATGCAGGATGTATTTTCATTGTTACAAATTGAACATAATTAATACCTAGTGATTAATCACAAAAACAATATGTAATTATATATGTGTTTTCTGATGGTCTTAGGTGATCCTTGTAAAAGGGTCCTTTGATCCCCCAAAGGGGTCATGACCCACAGGGTGGTGACCCACAGGTTAAGAACCGCTGCCCTAGAAGGACCAGGGGAATCCAAAAAAACCAGAAGATTATTTTCTCTGCCAGTGACACCAGCTACAGGAAACAGTCATGGAGGTCCTCACAAAGTAATCAAAAATTATACAAGCCACAGGCCTGGGAATAATGTGGAATTATGCCCAGAAGAGGCACTTTTCATCTACTTTAACTGCAGTGTCTGCTATGACTATGAAAACAGTGTTTATGTCCCAGTACTAATTCCACCTCAGAGTCTTACAACAAATGACACCAGCCTATGAAATCTCATACATCATGACACATGGCCTCTTTGGAGCATGTGGAGAGGAGTTCCCCTAAACACTGCTGACACTTGTGTAATACATACTGTGAACAGAGAATATACTTCATATCGTTCACAGAAGCACAATAAAGGCCGCCTGTTCAGGGTGACCACTGACCTCTACAATATAAGAAACACCAGACAGCAAATTAGAACCACAAAGTCATGCACACACTCTCTCAAGGCCTTGGTTGGCAACAAAAAAATCTGCCAGTATTGGACAAAGAGTGATTTGTTGCCATCAAGCTGTGCCTTACAATGCACACAAAGTTTGGGACCCACCATATCTGTTCACCTCTCCATGCTGACAGATCACAATTTTCCTTTCATCCCAGGGAGTAAACAGAACCAACAATATTAAAGGTACCAAGAAAAAACACCGTTATATAAAGGTCATACACCAGAGCAGATGACAGCAAGAGATTTGCAGGCTGATGCATTGGAACCTGAAACACTTCCTCACAGCACAATGTGACACCCACAATGTTCCTGTAAGAGGTAGCACTTAGCTGAGGAGGGTGTTCTGGACGAAACCTGGGTCAGGTCAATTCTCTGGTCAGAAATAAAGGAATGAAGATCCACCCAGGAGCTCAGAATATTCATAATTTTCTCAAGCACAACCCCAGAGTATGCAGGGGTTGTGATGGATGCACACTCTTCAGGGGAGCCAGGTGGTAGAGGTGAAATAGCTTCGACACAAACACTTGCAGTGACATCAATCAGGTTGTAGGCCTGAGTAGGTTAGCAAGTCGGATGCGGTTTCTGAAAGCGTCACTTATACCTGAAACTTAGGAGGCATCTAGCAGAGTGTATGTTCTGATAAAGGGGTTTGCATTCAGGTAAATGGGGGTAAAAGCTTCTCCTTTGGTGTTATTCTGAGTGAGAAAGTAAAATATTCCCTGCACATTTAAAGCTTTTCTCCAGCGTGTACTTTCAAGTGTTGAATGAGGACATATTTGAAGCGAAAAGATTCCCCACATTCACTGCACTCATGAGGTTTTTCAGCAGTGTGAACTCTGAGGTGCTGAATGAGGTTAGATATTTGCCGGAAGCACTTCCCACAAACACTACATTCATGCGGCTTTTCTCCGGTGTGAACTCTCTTGTGGGTAAGGAGATGAGTATTTTCCTTAAAAGATTTACCACATTCACTACACTTATATGGTTTTTGTCCAGTGTGAACTTTGTTGTGTTTAGTGAGTGAATACCCGTAATGAAAGGACTTCCCACATTCACTGCACTGATAAGGTTTTTCTCCAGTGTGAATTCTGCTGTGTTTACAGAGGTTAGAGTAGTAACTGAAGAACATCCCACAATCACTACATTGATATGGCTTTTCCCTAGTGTGAACTCTCTGGTGGGCAAAGAGGACATGGCTGCGGCTAAATGATTTTCCACATTCATTACATTTGTAAGGCTTTTCTCCAATGTGAACTCTCTTGTGGACAGAGAGTCCATAACTGCACCTAAATGATTTTCCACATTCACTACATTTGTAAGGTTTTTCTTCACTGTGAACTCTGTGGTGTTTAGTGAGGTGAGACCTTTGACTGAAGGACTTCCCACATTCACTGCACTCATACGGTTTTTCTCCAGTGTGAACTCTCTGGTGTTTTCTGATGGATGACCTGTCACTGAAAAGCTTGCCACAGTCACTGCACTCATACGGTTTTTCTCCAGTGTGAACTCTGTGGTGTCTTGTGAGGGAAGAGCTGTGATTGAACAGCTTCCCACAGTCAGTGCACTCACAGGACTTTTCTCCAGCGTGAATTCTCCTATGTCTATTGAGGTTAAAGATACATGTGAAAAGTTTCCCACATGTATTACACTCATATTTCTCTTCCCCAGAGCAGACGCCCTGATGTTGAACAAGGTTCTGGTGGCGGCTGGCTGCTTTTTTACAGTCATCCCACTGGTGATTCCTTTTTCTTGTGAGAAATTCTTCTGAAATCTCACTACGACTGTGTGGCTCCTCAGTATTGAGAGGGGTCTGGTGCTGGAGAAGCTCTGAGATGGCTGGGAAGTCTTCCCCACCCTCCCTACTGGATGAAGGCAGCCCTGATAAGGAGAAGCTGCACCTGGCCACAGACGAGGCCCCGCCCACAGCTTCTTTCCAGTGCTTCTCTCCACCTGCTTCCCTCTGTGGTCGGTGAGGGTTTGCACTGAAACAGAAGTCTCTCACACATGCGTCACTGAAGAAGGCTTTCTGCTCAAAGTCTGCTGCTTGTGACTCAGTCAGGTGCAGAATGTCTTTTAACACAGAGAAACACCTTCCGCACCGATGGCTCTTCTGGGTTGCTGGAGCTGACTTAAAAGCACTAACCTGTGACTCCACTTGTACAGATACACTCTGCTCAGAACAGGCCTCCGCATCATCCTTTTTATGCCAACAACCTGAAAACAGAAAAATGGTGATGAAATGAATGTCCACTGTGCTGCCAGCGAGAAGTCTCATTGCAAAAGTGTGTCGCATATTAACACGTTGTTTACATGCAATTGTCTGACAGCAAAATATCTGAAGGAAATGTTGATAAGATGCTGTTGCGAAGATCTGGGCCACTGAGGATAACCATATAAGGAAGATCTCAAACAAAATATGAAACAAACATGGCAAGCACCACATGGAACAGAAGCTGGATCGGCTGCTCATGCTTTCTCTAACAGTGTTCAAAAGAGCTTGTCTGCTGGCGACATGGGCAACCTGTACAGAAGGTGGGCTACATCTTATTCCAAGTAAAATTCAAGATATGAAAAGTGGGCTCTAGTGAAGCACGTCTGTACATCTCATAACACATGTGCAGGTCAATATGTGAGAATACCTCAGACAGAGCAGTTCAGAGGAACAGGTGCTGGAAAAGGGGCAAAAAGGTGAAGGTAGCCAGAAACCAGGAAGTCAAAGATTAAAAGATAAGTCAGGGAAGTGTCAAGCATGGGAATGAAATGGTAGAAATATGAGCTGCTGGCAGTGGCACCTCAACCTAAACTCTGTTGGACAAGAGCAGGTTCCTGGTATAATCTAAGCACCACCCTTATGTCATACCTCCCGCGAGTTACAACTCACAAGGGCCAGGCAAACCTTTAGATCATCCTGCATGTTCCCCCTGGGGGAAAAAAAACAGGGTTCTCCTTGCATCTTCTACTGTACAAGCTCATAAAACACAAATATTCTGAGTTCTATAGGAAGACAGCCCTAGCCGGTTTGGCTCAATGGATAGAGCCTCGGCATGCGGACTGAAAGGTCCCAGGTTCGATTCCAGTCAAGGGACAGGCCCCTCAGTTAGGGAGTGTTCAGGAGGCAGCAAGTCAACGATTCTCTCTCATCATTGATATTTCTATCACTCTGTGCCTCTCCCTTCCTCCCTGAAATCAAGAAAATATATTTTTAAAAAAGAAAGAAAGAAAACAGAGGTGAGTAGGCAGCACTGGGCCAGAGCAAGACAGCCTGCAATGGTATTCAGGGAACAGAATATTACAAACAATGGAAGGAGGTCTTTCAAGAACCAGCCATGGTTCTTGAACACCATAAGTGAACACCATAACCTGGCATAGACAGTCACAAAGAGCCTTTTGCTGAAGGAATGGTGCAGAAGTGGAAGCCATGGATGTGGACACAGACACCCTCCCAGAAAGAGAAAGTGCAAGCTGGGCCCATTAACCTATTTGCAACAATCCTGACCCCCAGACACGGCCTGTCCTATCTGAGGCTGTGGGTGTGAGGGCCATTCATGGAGTCCTTTGCTCTGGGCTCTCCACACATGCAGCACTCTCAGCCACAGTGCATTTGACAGGATAATGGGATAAAATGGAAGAGCCCGTGGTCTGGCTGTGGGAGAGAGAAACCTACATTTGGGGAATAAAGGAGGAGAAGAAATCACCTCAGGACACTGGGATAATGTGAAGCTCTTACCAGCAGATGAGACCAGAGCAAACACTTGCAGCATCACATCGCAGTACAGAAGTCTCTGAGCCTCATCCAGGAGCCCCCACTCCTCCTCAGAGAAGGCAATGGCCACGTCCTCGAAGTCCATATCCTGTCGTGATGGGGACAGTTCAGTCCATGATCAGCTTCTCTCCTAGGCTTTACTTTCGTCATACTTCTCGCTCTCCGTATCCATCTGCTCCCTCCACTCCCCACATCACAGAAAATAGCAGGCCTTGCATCCATCAGAATCACTCTCTCCTTATATTCCTACTGATACTGTATCTTCCCACAGCAATAGAGCAGATGCCCAGATTGATTAGACCTGACCTCAGGGCCTCATATTTAGGGTCAGCGCAAAGGGTGTCACCAACACAGGGCACAGATAAATGTTGGCCATAAAGAGAGAGGTGAGTGATTTGACACTGATCCCGTGGGGCGTTATCCTTGTTGTTCAACAGGTTCTCCTTCCAAGACCCGGATAAACAAGCATCACTGGTCACCCTTTCGATTCCAGTCCTAGGGTGCTAAGGCCAACAATTTGCCCTTCCCGTTCCACATAATTCTTTGCATCCCACTTCCCTCATACAGCTTCATTCCCAGAGTCACAACTTCAAAAACAACACATATAGGTCAGGAAGAGGACAGGTTGTTTTCTCATCACCTTTTTTCAAAATTCTAACTCGCCTTCTCGAAACCAGTAGACATATTCAAGCCCAGGTGACACTGATGTGTGCTATCCCATTCCTATTGATCACTGTATCAGCCCAACAACAACAGGCAGGTGTGCACCTATATGACACCTAATTTCTGGACCTGGCATGTAGTGCCACAACAGCCATCTTTTCAGGAGTTACCCTAAAATTCCCCAGTTAACAGCAGAAATGGACTCAACCTTCATTCCCTCTATGGCAATATCAGGAACCTGTGGCCATGAATTCACACTCCCTCTCCAACAGCACATCACTCCTTCTGCCACACCTTTCTCACACCTGCACTCCCGTAGTCCCAGCTCCCATAGACATCTCCTTGGTCTTAGTCATTACTCAGCATGTGTGTTCCAGAGACTGCATGGCAAGTTCAAACAGTATCATGTAATAACCTGACTCTGATTGCCCACATCCAAGGCACAGCCTTCAGTTCTGCTATGAAGGCCTCCCTCCCAACTTCTTTTTTCCTTCAACCTCACCTATTGAGAACCACATCAGATCTCAGTTATCCAGAGCCCACCTCTACTGTTGCTGCACTTGATGTCCCTTCTCCACTCACAGCCTATGGCCCTCTACCCCAGGCTCAGTGAGTCTCACAGATGTCCCCTTGTCTATAAGCAAATCAACCAAACTGGATGCAACACACCAGGCCACACAAGGGGTCACAAGAAATCCGGATGACTGTTTAAGAAGTAAATATGCACTAGCCACAGTCTAACCTTTTTTGAATTACTCTTCTACCTCCAATAAAAATAGGTGACCTTCAACTCCTCCCTGGTCTAGATGGTTATATTTTTAAGTAGTCTTCATCTTGAACTACTCCTCAGAGTTCCAGATGGTCATGAACTGGTCTCTGAAATATCTCATAACTTAAAAGGCAAAAAAGAAGATTTTATATTCCTCATGAACATAACTTTCCCACTATGAATTTCTCCATCTCAGTGATGGTGCTTTCATATCTTCAGGTGCTAAATCCAAACCTTTACATCATCTCTGATTCTTACCTCTCTCTCCAATCCTCAAAATTAGGAAATCCAGGTGGCCACAGCTCTACCTTGATCCATATGCAAACTGCTTCTTCCACACCCACAACCACCACTGTGCTCCAGGTACCCTCACACTCACCAGCACTATCACAGCAGCTTCCGTCCTGGGCTTCCTACCACCGTCCTCACACCCATCCTGTGCATCAGGCTGCAGCCACAGGGAGTCTAGTGAGACCTGGGACAGGTCACCTGCTCTACTGCTCCCATGACCCCAATGACCCCATCACCAGCAGAACACAAACCCAAGTGGCCCCAAAGCTCCTCTGCACTTGGTTCCTGTGCCACTGTTTCCAATTCCTATTTTTTAAAAAATGGACCCCTGCTGGTCCCTGAATCAGCTTAGTCTGCACTCGAAGCCTTTGCACATTCTGGAGCCCATGCGCGGAAGGACCTGTCACACACAATTCCACTGGCTGCCAAAATCAGGTGCCAGCCATCTGACCCTTGACCTGGGCTTAGGATTCTGGGCGTGGTGTCCCTTCAAGGTCCCCAGGTCCAAGGTCCCCCGAGAAGAGGGGCCGACAGCCCCAGGACCCCACGACCTCAGAGGCCACCAGAGAGTGAGGCCCTGACAGGAGCCCCACAGCCCCGTCCCCTCAGCGGCTCTGCACCCGCAGGAACCGGTGGGAACTAAAGGGCTGAGGGCCGGGCACCCACCCCAGGACCCAGGGGCTCGGGCTGCTCAGAGCCCTGGCCCCGCCCCGGGGGGGTGATGCCCGCCGCCCTCGGGGCTCAGTCCAGTGCGCACCTGCCAGTGACCTCATCACCTACAGGGTCCTCCTTCCCGCCCTCCTGCTGGCCTCTCCCGTGTAGTCTATTCTTCCTCTGAGCAGTTTTGAGAAGAGGCTAGAACCCTAACTCACACTAGGTCCCTCTTTGGTTCACAGCCACGGATGGCAGCAGCTTCCTGAAAACAAAAGGAAAAGTCCTCACACAAAACTTCGCTCCGAGGCTGGAGGGTCCGATGGGGTGAGGCCGAGGGGACTCTGTCGGCGGAGAGGAGTCGGGGAGCCTCGGACGCCCCAACACCTCGGGGCTCAGACCGCCCTGAAAGGCAGGGACGCTGCCTCCCACGCCTCCTCCTACTCGCCACCAGAGCGGGAAAGCTTGGGAGTCTGAGAATACACGGGATCCTTAAAAATGGCCACGGGAGGAGGACGCCGGAAGTCCCGCCCTAACCGGATGTGCAGGTCACAAAATGCTCCGAACCCGGCTGACTCTAGCGCAGTGCTTTCTGGGTAATGTAGTTTTAGCAACGACCAAGAGGAAGGCTCATCCCAGCCAAGGACCTTGGTGAGTATTGGTTTGAGGCCCCACACTGGGGGCTGGAGGACAAGATGGGACTGGAGGTCAGCTTAACTGGTGATACTGACAGATCTCTGAGGGGAGAGGGGAGGGAGGCCTGGAATAGAGCCACCAAACATTATATATAGATACAGGGGGAAATGAGAGACATCTGTAATTCTATCAACAATAAAAGTACATATTTTCAAAAAAATATTTTTTGATTGTCAAGGGCGGGGGAAAAAAGGAGACATATGTAATACCCCTTATAGTACTTTAAGCAATAAAACTAAAAAATATATATATATATTTTTAAATACTACAGCCTAGCTGGTGGGACTCAGGGGCATTGACCTATGAACCAGGATGTCATGGTTCTATTCCTGGTCAGGGCACATACATGGGATGCAGTCTCAATTCCCAGGGAGAGGGGAGGTACAGGAAGCAGCCTACCAGTGATTCTCTCTCATCATTGATATTTCTATCTCTCTCTTCCTCTTCCTTCCTCCCTGAAATCAATTAAAAATATTGTTTGAATGTATGACTTAAATCAATTGTACTTAAATCAAACTTTAGAAAAAGGTTTAAAACTTGAGGCTTCCCAATAATTTTACTGTGTTGTTATGAAATTTCTGGAGCATATTTGTTGCAACTGTATCATTTTATTGGAAATAAAATACAATGATGTGCTACTGAAATATTATGTGCATATTCAATGCTTTCACGTTGGCAGTTTAACACTGACCATGATGAGAGTATTTATGCCAGGGAAATTGACAAATTCTACAAACCCAGACTTCATTTAATGTATTAGTAAAGGGTGTCCCAAAATTCACGCAAGAAGTAATTTTGATAGAAAACACAGGTTTATAATTAAAAATTGTAAATTTTTTATTGATTCATAAAGTATAGGGTTATGTAAGGAATAGCATACAATCAGGCAGGCAGGTGAGCAGTTTGGGATGATGAGGGAGGCAGGCAGGCGAGTGGTTAGGGGCGATCAGGCAGGCAGGCGAGTGGTTAGGAGTGATCAAGCAGGCGAATGGTTAGGGGCAATCAGGCAGGCAGGCAGGCAGGCCAGCAGTTAGGAGCCAGTGGTCCTGGATTGCGAGGGATGTCTGATTGCCAGTTTAGGCCCGATGTGGGATCAGACCTAAACCGGCAGTTGGACATTCTCTGAGGGGTCCCAGATTACGAGAGGTTGCAGGCTGGGCTGAGGGACCCCACCCCGCACGAATTTTGTGCACCAGGCCTCTAGTCTCATAATAACAACACCTCCTCAAGGTAGTGCTGTGGGAATGAAATGAGGCCATGCTGAGCTGAGAGCGGTGCCTGCCCCATAGCTAACACTCACAAGGCATTTGCTGTTCTCTTCCTTCCTCAGGCCTGACTAGCTGTCTCTTGCTCGCAAGGGGAAAGGAAGGTGGAGGGGCCTCCCCACCCACAAGTGAGCTCCTGAAGGCAGGGATCTCTGTCATTTTGTTCATGGCAAATACTGGAAGCTCGATAACTGTTTGTTGAATGAATGCATGACCCCTGCTTTGAGGCAGAGGAAGAAATTCAGGACAGGAGGCCCCTCACAGCTCGCTCAGACTCCTTCCCAACCCCAGCCATCTAGTCTGTTCATTCTTCTCATTTTTCCCAACTGTGTCCAAAAAACACCCAGACATGATCCTCAATGACCCCCCTTTATATTCTCACTCGTGCAAAGCTCGGGAATGGACGGTTGCTGTGGTCTAACCAGGAATGGCAGCTCTCTGAGGGGTAGGAGCAAATCCCGCCCCTGCGAGGGAGGGGCAGGGTCCGGATGTGTGCAAGGGCCCAGCTTCTCTTCTTTTTTAAATATATTTTATTGATTTCAGAGAGGAAGGGAGAGGGAGAGAAACATCAATGACGAAAGAGAATCTGATCAGCTGCCTCCTGCACGCCCTCTATACTGGGGATCCAGCCCTCAACCTGGGCCCTCAACCTGTGCCCTGACCAGGAATCGAACCCTCACCTCCTCGTTCATAGGTCAATGCTCAACCACTGAGCCACACCGGCCGGTACTGACTTCTCTTCTTGAATTTACC